CTCACTCAACCTGCCTAGTCCTCATGCTGAAAAGACTGGCCCTGAGCCCTGAGGATTTCATCAGTCTCTGCCAGCCCCAAGACCCACAACGGCTCATGGGGTCCCGATGTCGAAATATGAGGGAATCTACGCGGGACCATCAGGACGTAAATTGATCTCGATCAGGACCAACGTAAGGCTGTACAGGAGTCTGCGTAAGCCCTCTGATCTTCAGAAGCCCACCCATGTATGTTTTCACTTAGAGGCCAGATTAGGGCCCTCAGAGACCAGTACAGGGCCTGCAAACTGCAAAGGCCAGTAGTTTGAGACCATCAGAGACCGACTTGGGCTCCCAGAGGCTAATGTGGGTCCTTACTCATTACAGGCCAACATGGGGTCCTCAGATGTCAGCGTGGGGCTCTAAAAGACCGGCATGAGCCGTCGTTGGACCCCAGAGGCCAGCAGAGGGCCCTTAAAGACCAAGATGGCCCTCCTCAGAGGCCAATGCAGGCCCTTAGAGGCCGGCATCGGGTCTTTAGCAGCCAGTGCGGGGCCCTCATTGGCACCTAAAGGTTCGTCTTAGGACACTAGAGACAGAAATAAGGCCACCAGAGACCGGTGTGAGACGCTCAGATGCCGATTGGGGCCCCTGAGGCCGGTTAGGGGCCCTCATAGGCCAGATGTGGGGCTTAACCCGCGCGGGGCTGGGGGGGTAAATTTTACCCCCCCCCCCCCCTCGCGAATTTTTGCGATATCTCAAAAACGGCGGCGCGCAGCGCCGCCAAACTTTCAGTACCTTTTCTTACATCAATTTGACACGTTCCCTGAAAATTTGAACGAAATCCGTCGGAAAATTGTTGAGAAATTGACGTTTTAGTGACGTCATGTTCGCCATTTTCGCCTCAAAACGGCAAAAGTTCAAACGCCGCTAACATCTTCATTTTAAAGGAATCAAGACGTAACAAAAAGGTTATACGTAATTTTACTTTGTCTATCAAATGGCTATCTCGATTTTTTGAAAATTTTGGATTTTGGCCTAAATTTTTTCAAAAAACTGACTTTTTTGGGAAAATCATTATAAAATCCAAAATTTTGAGTCTATCGAAAAAACAGGAATATATGTCAGAGAAGTGGTCTATGTGCACCTACATACCAAATTTTAGAAGAATCGGTTCAAAAATGTGGGAGTTATTCAAAATTTTATGACGTCACGACGCACAATTTTTTTGAAAAATGACTTTTTTGGAAGTTCTAGACCTCGTACGGAAACAAAAATAGCACCATTCGATTCGCCGTGAAAAACTGCATCAGATAGACACCTTTTTAGGCCTTAACAACCAACTTCAAAATTTGACCTCACTTGACCTGACCTTGACCTGACCTCGACCTGAAATTCATCCAGAGGTGGTTCATATCACTTATTGAGTGTGCCTATTGAATTCTATGAGTAAAATGACCCACAAAACATGTGTCGCACATGCCCTTTTCTATATTTTGTTTTTTGGTGACCTGACCTGACCTGACATGACCTTGACCTTGACCTCTGAATGATATTGTATGCAACGAATATTGTCTTGGTAGCCTAAGAACACGTTTTGGGCGATCAGTCTCAGTCCATGACTCCATTCTTCGGCAACTACGGTGCAAGGCCGATACTGTAGAAACTTACAATTTGTACCCTTGACCTGACCTTGACCTTGACCTCAAACTTTAAATTAAGTACATGTTTTTAGTAGTTCGTGATGAGAGCTTTCGATTGGCGTTTGAATTTTCCAAATCAGACCATTAGTTCGGGAGATAACAGGGAGGGGGGGTAAAATTTACCCCCCCCCACCAGCCCCGCGCGTTCGGCTGGAGACCCCAGCCCCGCGCGGGTTAAGAGCCAAGAGGTTGATGTGGGCTCTTAGTGGCCAACGTGGGCGCTTGACCGCCACTGAAGTTCTCTCAGAGGTCAGTGTAGGACGCTCAAAGACCGGTGTGGGAGCTATATTAAAGGGACTATCCCACCTTCTAAAATGTTGTTAAAACCAGTTAAATTGTGCCCGACTTTATAGATTGGATGACCAGGAACACGGTTCTGGCATTTATTTTTCATTAAACATCTTAGGTTTCCCATATTCCAAACACAAACTTTCAAATATGTGACGTTGACAGCCCAAAATTACCCCCTTCCCCAGGCCACATTACTGTCATAAAGCTGATTCTTTTTACTCTGTAGGCACCACAACAAAGTTCAGACCAAGTTTTAAGCGATTTTTCAACGAACAAACCCATTTAAATCAGAATGACTAAACGAGGTGACGTCACACTAACGGTCGCTCCATGTTGAAGATAGGGCCTTGTACAAGGCCCATTTTCAAATGAAGGGAACGAATTTCTTCAACACCAAGAGGCCGCGGGGGTTGCAACCTAGATAGATAGTGGTTTCTGAACCTCGCCGCTAACTTGGCTATCTCAACTCAAACCCCATGTTAAAGGTGGGATAGTCCCTCTAATAGCTTGGAGTGGGGTTTTTTTTTAGCCTCGTGACGATCGAATAAGGGCCAGGGCCCCATACACCTATGGAGGCCCATCGGTTGTTTGAGGGGGGGGGGGCAAATGATATGATGGCCCCCTTTATTGGCCTTTGGGGGGGGGGGGCATGGCCCTGATGCGCCCCCCCCCCCACGCGACCGCCACTGTGTACACATTACACACAGGCCTCTGAGATTGCATACTAGCTCATGCAAACTCTATGCAAGCCCCGGAGGTCCCACGCTAATCCTTAAAGGTAGTGTGCCACCTTTGAAAGATTTCCCGTTTTATTTTTCCTAGGATAAGAAGCTTCTGTTTTTACCTAATATCGCAAAAAAAATCAAAAATGGGCCTGGAATAGTGCCTTTTTCGCCTAAAAGTTTATCGGTTTTTAGATATGTATAACAACTGTAGTGGGCTCACCTGCAAACAGGCGTCGGGCAACAATCGCGAATGCGGCGCACTTGTGACAATAAGCAAAGGTCATTATAGTGTTACGACCATACGACGTACGGGAATGAGTTATCAGCTGTCTAATCGTAGACAACACAATGTCGAGCCTGTATTGGTATTGTTGTTCGAGTACTGTAAGCCTGTATTGGTATTGTTTCTTAAATTTGGCTGTCGAACATTAATTTGTGGTTTGAAATATGATTTTATGTAAAATAATTGATATGAAACAGCCGTCTCTTAAGTTATGACCCCATTACACCACTCGCAAGTGGCAGAAATGACAATGATCAGCTGACGCATTTTTCTTGGCCGAAGTCAGAGCGCGCGGCCCGACGCACCACGCGTATTTGGAAATTCCGACCTCGACGAGCATCAGAAGCCACCTAACAGGCGTGTTCGAAACCGCAGGAGATGATGATGAACGGGTTTATCGAAACTTGATTGGATGAGCCTATCGGTAATAGCGATTTTAGTGTGTGCATTTATTGTTCATAGTGGTGTGAAATGTGGTTGGGGTACGACCGACAACCCGTCGGGGCGAATTTCGCACTGGGGTACTCAAAATTTGAAGAATTTAAGACGTTTCCATAAGTTTTGAAGGTATGGATAAGTTCTAAAAATCCGGTTCTCCTTATCCGGGTCATTAACTCCATATGGTCCAAGAAAGCTGGCACACTACCTTTAAGAAACCAAGCCGGCATGCGACGTCACCACCGGGCTTCTGAGGTGCACCGCACCAACCCATGAGGTCTTTCTTTAGTGTCGTAGAGCCACGCTCATTTGGCAGGGTCCACCCGCCACTGCCGAAGAGGGTCTCATGCCAGCCATTTGTAGCGAGGGGATTTAGAGAAAAGAAGAAAGAAGGAATAAAACAAGCTGCATCTTGCGGTTCAGCAAACAGCGGTCCACGGTCGTTCAGCTGGTTGTAGAAGAACAGAGCTATTTGCTGCTGTAATGCTGTCGGTAGTAGAGCTGGTGATACAGGGGAACCTGAGAGTCGTTGAAGAGATCCTGAGATAGCTATAGGGAGGGATCCAGATAGTGATGAGATCCTGATAGAGATCTCAAGATCCGCCTGAGGGAGATGTGATCCACCTGATAGGGATCTTGAGATGACGTCCACCTGGGAGAGATGTAGATCCACCTTGCATACAAATACATCTGATGGAAGATGCTTTTTAATTTAGAGGCTTGATGATTCTGTTCATTGTATAGACCATGATGCACGAGATGCTTCTTCACTGCTCGGATTAGGGATAGAGGGATCCGATCAGCTGGGTTTGCGGCACAGTTGGGCAGGTGAAGGACAAGGCATTCGAAGTCCCGATGACCACTGCCAAACATATGGGTGGTAATTACATTGATAAATTGAATGTGATCATTCGTCCAGTCACCCATGTATATGCTACACCGATCCGTCGCCATGGTGCAGTGGCCCGACCGGTGGAAACACCGTGGGACGGGAAATGGAACTGGTGATTTTGCCTTAAATTGTGCTTAAAGATTCCACGCAAGAATGGCATGGATGAAGCATAATTAGTGCCGACTGCGCGGCGCCTCTTGGACGTAAAAATTAGCCGATCACCCCCCCCCCCTCCGGTGACGGATAAATGTTATGTCCCGCGAGTGTGAGTTTGCCCCCCCCCCCTTTTACTAGCGGCTGCGACCGCCAGTGAAAAACAGCAACCGAACCTTCTTGTTTTAATTTGGAAGCCCAACCGTCCCCTGTTCCGCTAAGCGACCGAACGTCACCTGCAGGTGACGGCAGACAGCCAGTCTGCCGGTGTTTCTTGTTTTCTCACTGGTCGAATTCACACCGGATTTCCGCTGTAGCCTGGTGAACGAAGCAACGTAATTGAAACTGCATATTGATCATATTTCAAAATTATATGCGTACATATTTGGTCGCGGTAGGAGATGAAATAAAAATCGAAACTGGATGATATTGTGTTTTTGTGTTGCGCCTTTTAATTAAGTTTTAACCACTTGTCACCATTTGTCATTGGTGTTGCGGTATTTTTTAATCATCGTTTTCTGTCGTTTTTTTTCGGCAGGAAATATGCAGTTGAAGGCAGCCGGAGAGATCCGAATTCCGTTCGGACTGGGCATTGCCGGCTACGTGGCGCAAACAAAGGAGATCGTCAACCTGGCTGATGCTTATCTGGTCAGTTATCACGGTGGCTGATTGATACTTAGGTACTTGACACGAGCGTGCCGCTGATCTTCGTCTGATAAATTTATTACTCATTGCAAGCACAATAGGCTTTGTATATATGCATTTTAGGGCTCCTACGTAGGGCTCGCGAAATAGGGGAATTTACTATCCGAGGTAACCCCACTATGCTAACTCTTTTGCGCCGCAAAAACCGTTTTGTAAAAAAAAAAATCGACACAGTATCGACATCGGTGTTCCACCGTATTACAGTACATATTCCTCAGACAATCATTGTATGTATGTACTCGTGTGTACATACGATGACCGTGTACCCCAGGAGACCTGCCCCCTATGCGTTCCACAAAACTCAAGCTTCAGTCCCTATATGTATGAATGGTGACAACGCCCCTTGGTGTCCTCCACTACTCCTCACGACCCCCAGTATTGCCTCTCCGAGTGACCGCACCTCCCCACGGCCCCTCAGGACGTCCTGCCTCTTCCAGTGACCATATCTCCCCGCAACCCCCCCCCCCCCCCAGGACCCGCACTTCAGCCCCGAGGTGGACGAGATGACCGGCTACAAGACGGGCTCGCTGCTCTGTATGCCCATCTGCAACCATGCTGACGAGGTGATCGGGGTGGCGCAAATCATCAACAAGCAAGGAGCCGAGTGCTCGGCCTTCACCGAGGCCGACGTGCAGGTGGGGAGCCGACCTCTTATCTCATCGCTTGATACTGAATTTGCTACAATTAGTGCAGAGATAATTTAGTGGGAAATGCAGCTTCGGTTTACTGCTTGGTGGGTATTCTTATCTCGACGTCCGACGAAGTCGAGGATGAAGGGCCTCGAAGGCTATGCAATTAGTAATTTGGAAATCATAACAAAAAGACATGGCTTGCGCGACTGAGCCCATCATCAGCCAATTTCTCAGCTCAATATGGGAACAACATGCAAAAGTTTGTGGTTTGGTCAAGCACAAACTTTCCGTTGTTGTTGCCAAACTGGGCAGGAAACTTTACCGGCGTGAAGGCTAGTGCGCTACGTTTACTGCGTGCCAGGAATTCCGAGTGACTTATCACAAAGCCATCGGACTTATATGTTTGTTCGTCGTTCGATATGTCGAAATAAGAATGTCTGAGTACACATGGAAAGATAAATGCAAATTAAGTTGAAATCATTTCTGCTGACAGATTGTTCAAGACCTGCGGCTAGATTATGGATAATGTTCATGTTTATAATTGATCAGAATACCATTCTTTCATGTAATTCCTTCCTTTCCAGATATTCCAGAAATACTTGGTGTTTTGTGGAATAGGACTTCAGAACGCCCAACTTTTCGACCTGTCTATATCAGAATTTAAGAAGAACCAGGTGAGTTAAATGTTTGAGAAAGACTGCACCGCTGACACTGCTGCTTTCTAGCCTGCACCTATTTAGAACGTTTCTAAAGAAGCTCTTTTTTAAATTAAATGAAATCGGACTCGGCGGGGAGCCATTGCCGCAGAACAAAACTTAGAACACGCTGAAGACGCTGTCTTCAATTACAATAGTTCATTCTCACAAGAGAAGTGGCCGTGGCCCGTGGGTGATTGATGACCTACAAATTAAAACTTTCTTACCTCATAAAGTTGCAACTTTTCTCAGATTCTTCTAAATCTAGCGCGAGGGATTTTCGTAGAGCAATACAGTCTGGAGAACCTGGTGAAGAAGATAATGCGTGAAGCCACGGACCTGCTACACTGCGAGCAGGCGGTTGTTTTCCTGCGGGACGACCACCACGACTCGGTGAGCTGCTCTCCTCCCTGTGTTCCGTCCCCAGTGAGCCCCGTCTGAGCCTAATTAAAATGTAAATCAACTCTAACGAGCGCCGTACAGTTACAAACACCTTATGAAGAAAACATCATCAAGGCATAATTAAACAGAACAAACGCATTGCAAATGTCAGAGTGAAATACTATTCATGCAACTCTCGGCGTTGTTGGACTGCTATGCATTCGACGTTGATTTGTATGCTATGTATTCGACTAGATGTTGTTGGACTGGATTATGTATTCAACGACTTTTGTCTCCTACCTTACCGTTTTATGTGTGCTGTGGCCGTCAGACGGCGACGGGCTCGGAGTTTGGCCTGCCGCCGGTGCGCTCCTCGGACCAGCTGTCCAGCTCTCTGCCCGTGACCCGCACCACCTCACGGGAGAGCGGCACCACGGAACAGGTGGGAGCGTCGGCAGTCAGTGTGAACCCTCTCCAAATACGTGTCCAGTACCCTGTCCGACAGCTTGTCCTGGCAGCTGTCAGCTTGTCTGTCCAGCAACCTGCTCACAACCAGTCTGACATTGCCCCTTAGACAATAGACAGTCCACTGTCGGATAAACTATCATGCAACCCAACTGGGTCTGGTCTGTCATCCTGTCCGGCACCGTTTTGAGGTCTTCTTCCGACGTCCCGAAAGTCTGTCAGGCGCACTATTTACCACCGGTTTGATGCTGTGTCAGTCGACGCGACATGTCGTTCGGTGTCGACCCGACGCCCGACCCGGGACCCTGTACTCTGCCGTCGGTCCGGTATTCAGGCTGCCACGCTTAGCTAAGGCCCCCCGGGAGCGTGTTAATTTCACTTGAATCGCTAACTTAATGGTCATTAACCCTATTCCTGGCGGGCTCCGCCGGGACAAGAAACTGGCGGGGGGGGGGGGGGGGGCCGATTCGGCCCCCCCCCTGAGATCTCGAGAACGAAGCAAGATAGCGACAAGCGGTAAACGGCATCGGATACGCACGGCCAAAATCTACAATTTTTACAAAGGTCATTTTCAGGTCAGGTCAAAGATGACGTCACAGGGGTTGAAAAAGTCAAAATGGCGGCGCTAGATATGGAGAGAGTTTTTCTCGAATAACTTTCGAATTAGTCAAGATAGGAACAAACTAAGGGCATCATCGTGATCCTCTCGTCAATCCGCATCGAATGATATATATGTTGACCTCGAAAGGTCAAGGTCAAAGGTTGACCTCAGGTCACGTGACCTCGAGGTCATCATGTATATCATTCGATGCGTCTTGACGAGCTGAACACAATGAGACCATCCACGCGTCTGTATCTTGTTCCTGTACGGAGTTATTGGCCAAAAACCTTTGGTGACCTTTGATGACGTCACATGACCTCACAGCTGCCCAACAGCAAAACAGACCTCAAGGTAGTGAAGGTTGATCGTATATGAAGTCATGTATGGTATATGGGGCCATTCCGACCCGTTTTAGTGGTAAAAACAGGGAGTTGATTTTTCCCCCATTGACTTATAATGGGGAGGTCGCGAAATTGACCTGACCTTAGGTCACCGATATCAAAATTCCGAGATATACAAATTGCACATACTGGTACCCTAACTAAACCCTGAAGAGAAGAAATTGATCGGTCAAAAACTCTAGCTCTAGCGTGATTGCAAACTTTTCTGAGGTAGGGTCACCAAACCGCCTCTGGTGACCTGACCTGAGGTCAGATCAACTCAAAATTTTCAGACATGTTGCGTAGAAGCCTTTTAGGAAAAGTTAGAAAATTTGAGCTTCCTAGCTCAACGCGTTTGGGAGAAATAACCAAAAAACCTCAGGGGGGGGCTCCTGAGGCCCCCCCCCCCCGCCAGGAATAGGGTTAAGGTGCTTGAGAACATTTAATGATGTCGCGAGGGTAATAAATTGTGCTGTTCCCTTGGCCCTTAACGCCTCATGCTTCGCAAGAAATAATAATGAAGAAATTGTGTACCGGCTAACATATCTTTTGCTAATCCACATTTCTGCTCGTATTCTCAGATTAGCAAACACCATTTTACCATCGTAGCCATTCTCTCTCTCTCTCTCTCTCTCTCTCTCTCTCTCTCTCTCTCTCTCTCTCTCTCTCTCTCTCTCTCTCTCTCTCTCTCTCTCTCTCTCTCTCTCTCTCTCTCTCTCTCTCTCTCTCTCTCTCTCTCCCCTCTCATTCTCTCTCTCCCGCTCCCCACACACCTCTCTCACCTGTCGCTGTCTGCCGGTTGCAGGCGGCCACATTCGTCCAGTGTTTCAGCCTCACCACAGACTCCGGGGGTGAACAGAACGTTCGCTCGCTGCCTGAAGTCGAATTCCGGCAGCTGCCTCTACATGATGTGGCGCTCCGTGTGCTCGAGACTGGAGAGGTGGGTCGGTAAGGGGTATGGTGGGGTTGTTCGGTGGGGGGGGGGGGGGCGCGGAGGTAAAGTGATTGTATTGCAGACGAGGTACTAGGGACGATGTGGTTTGCTCATACCTACACAGAAGTATCTCTGGGTGGCACATCATGTAATCTGTTTTGATAATTTTGGCTTATATATTATTCATCTGACACCTCATTGCAAACCGTAAATAATATAAGCTACCCTCCAAGTATTCTAGGGTTCAGAACTTCCTTATGGTTGAACTCATGACATTGCTGTGCATCGTAGATTCATATTGGCCAAACTGTCACCGCTTATCTCATATCTTCAGCATCATTCAAACAAAGGCCTCCAATATCAGCAGCTGGCCATCAGTGATTTGAAGGCTCCTCGGCACCAGCTGCCACCCTCAGCCCTGACCCGTCAGATATCAGTGCCCATTTCCCGTCCCCTCTCCATTTATCCGCGACCCCGGCGAGACGCCATTCGGCTGAGTGACGCCGAATTCACACTCCGTTTGGCTCGCAGACCATGGCCACCTCGGACGGTGATGAGGACGGCGAGACGGTGGGCATTCGGTGGCACCACGACGACAGGAGCTCCAAGATGCGCTCCGTGCTCACCATCCCGATCCACAACCAGAGTCACACCATCATCGGAGTGGCACACTTCATCAACAAGGTGGGTGCAGGGTGGAGTGTGCGGGAAGGAAAGAGGACCTGGGGCGTCGGGGTGAAGGGGCGAACTTAGAGGTGGAGCGGGTCAGAATGAGGCAGGAATTTCAATCGATGGGGGTTGTTGAAATTAACGCGGTCTAGTATATCTAATCGTAGGAGAGAGAGAGAGAGAGAGAGAGAGAGAGAGAGAGAGAGAGAGAGAGAGAGAGAGAGAGAGAGAGAGAGAGAGAGAGAGAGAGAGAGAGAGAGAGAGAGAGCGAGAGAGAGAGAGAGAGAGAGAGAGAGAGAGAGAGAGAGAGAGAGAGAGAGAGAGAGAGAGAGAGAGAGAGGAGAGGGAGAAGAAGAGGGAGAGAGTGAAGGAGATTGAGAGACCTTTTCGTTCTGCACTACGATATCTCAGGAAATTCGCTGATGCAAATTTTCAGGGTTCATGCCTTTTCATTTGTTCTTTTTCAGGAGAACGGCCACTGTTTCACGGACCAGGATATACGGGCAGTGGAGACGTTCGGCGTGTTCTGTGGCCTCGGCATCCACAACAGCCAGATGTACGAGAACGCCTGTGAGTACAGACATCATTTTCCTTAGTTGAAATTAGTTCAGAACATTCCTTTGGCTGAGCAGCCAGCGATCGATTCTCGGGCTGAAGCTTCCAGGGAACTATGCGCTTGTAGGAAACAAAGCTGGATATTGGTCAAACGTTATTGTTATAATTGAATTTGTAACCGAGAAGGGAAAAAAATTATCGATGGTCACAGTAGTGTTTTTATAGCACTTTACAAACTTCAGAAACTGCAACTATGACTCTGAATAGCAATACGAGTAAAAACAATTGGTGAAGCAGCCCATTAAATAATCAGAGGTTTTGAAAACTGAAGCTTTCATAACTCAATTTACCGATGAATGTGCAGGAGATCGCAATGTTTCGATTGGTTTAGAATAACTTTTACGCCCACGCAGGTTCCAGCTCTTTAGATCTGTGGTTCCCAAACAGCACGGAGCAATTAGACGAAGGACAAAGATAGAGCTATAAAGGTGGAAGATTTGCGCGAACCCTAATGTGTAGGGCTCTCAATCGAGCTATATTTCAGATATGCCCGGCGTGCTTCACGAAAAGACAAAAATGCCCGGTCTATGTAGAGTTCCAGGCTTCTTGGTTAGTGGATAGCCCATTGGCTAATTAGGTCAAATCCCGGTGTCAGCCCTTATAAGGATTGCACTTAATACTAAGAGTCTGTGCTTACTACGGCGATTTGCTGTAGTAATCTTCTGTGATGTCATAATCTCACCGTATTTCATGAATGACTTCAGTACATAACATAGAAAACTCAAAACGATAAATCTTGGCATGGCACTGCTTGAGGGAAGCGACTCTCGAGTAGCGCTGCAGGCTGAAGCAATCAATCTCTCAAAGAAATATTGCATGGTTTGGAACCTCGGATTGGATTTCACTGACCTTGAATGACTTTGAAGGACGTTGGCATTTTCGGAGACACATCTAATATGTATCTTTATATCTAGCATCCAACGTTTTGTATTAGTGCGCTCATGCTAGTAACGAGCATACATACAGCCCTCCAGCAGAGGAGATGCTGCAGCTGGTCAACCGATGTGTCTTTGGGGTAGCTAATAGCTTTGAATAACACAGACCCTCAAGTACGTAGATAGAATGACTTTGAATTGAGGAGAGGCTTCGTTAGGACACAGCCAAAGTTTCTTTTTTTTTGACAGGCTGTAGACGTATTTATCAATACAGATCGACAATTGTGATATTAGCAACCACTTAATCTTTTGAGGGCTGTACATGCAGTTTGCTTGGTGTTTTCTCCTGCATCACGTAACTTTTCGTGTGGATGGAGAGCACTTAACCGAAACGAATAAACCATTGAAATGAAAAAAATTGGCTTTTGGCACGCATGACTCGACAAGCTACATATCATTGACAGTGTTAAAAGCCGCTGTATTCAATCGCTCGTCTCTAGAAAATAGAAATATTTCTAGTTTCACGCTGTTCGTGCTAAGCGAGCTTCAAAATGCAAACTGTATTCAGGGCGGCATTTCCAGGCTATTTGATCGCACCCAACATGACCTCAAGGACGACGTGTCCAAACTGAGATGGCATATACCCGCGGAAACATTATTTGTTACAGTAATGCGTGCAGGCTGATATAGCAAAAATCAACCACGCAACGCCTCACCATGGCATGTACTAGACGGTCGCGCTGATCACTCTCAGCGCTTCATCTGATCTAATTGTCCCGACTCTCGTAAAATAAACTGATGCGAGAAGCAGCGAAACTACAAGCCCAAGTGTTCTCGAACAGCAAAGCCATTCGTCTTACGTTAGTGATCTCGATCTTGTCTGCAATGTTACTCGGCGGCTCCGGAGACTGTCATTTGATCTTCTGCGCGCCAGCTGATCGAAACTCGCGAGAAATCGACTGTCCAACAGAAATAGAAGGGGGCGGAAAGAACGATACGGCCTCTGTCCGCACCGGCCTCACCGAACCGGCCTCTGTCCGAACCGGCCTATGCCAGGCCTCGTACCGCACTGACCTAACATTCCCAGGTCAGTCGCCGAACCGGCCTATGCCCAGGCCTCGCACCGAACGCATTTCATCAATACAGACAGCCAACGACACTGTACACAACACGTGTTTACAATGCAGATACCGGCGGGCCGGACCCACCTGCCATTCCAACGGTGCCGGGTCCGTAGTGTTGCGCGGAGTCCATGGTCCGCGTCCCGTTCTGGCCCTCACCACCGTATCCGTGCACGATAGAGGCTGCATGATGCCAGCACACGCACGCTATCTTACCACACACGCGCTATCACGCAACCAGACGCGCCACTCGCGGCTCACCTCTGTTGTCACCGTCGTCCCCTCTCACTGACTGACGTCTGTCCTCTCGTCTCCTCCCTCGCCCTCCCCGCCCTCGCCCCTCCCCACGGACTGCCGCTCCCCAGCCCACCTCCGACCCAGCTGGTCATCACACTCCAGAGGGGCCACTAAACTTTATTAGGGGACCCTAATACCGATTGATTGATGAGCTACGGACGCCTCTCAATCAATTGTTTTTACATCTCATGTGGCGGTAGCGATGGAAAATTCAGTGTAGGCAGACCTTGAGTCCAGATTTCTTGCCAGTTGAAGTGAAGAACGCTTCAAACAAATGATGTTGCTTTTTATAAATTGCGGTTGGATAACATTCTTGTCATGAACCGACTCTATTAGCCGGCGCATTTTGCATTGTTAATGAGCGAAAATATATGGTCCACTTACACGGCAATGTATTACAATTGACGAGATTAGTTATTGTGGTGTATATACATAAACATAAACTGTGTGTATAGTTTTTGGTGTAATTTAAACAATATACTATACGTTTCCATCAAATTTGTCCCTTCCATCTTCAATTTATGTCTTTTCACTCGTCAGGATATTCATTGAATGGAAAATGCTTTTTGATTTTTAGCACTGAATCATATTTGTCAATCTGTATTGCTACGACTTCTTGACATTTAGCTTTGATATTATTCCGCAAGGGCTTTGCAATATATCGACAAAGCCGTAACGTGATTATTTCTGCGTCGGAAGCCCAATACTGTATCGACATCAATCCGGTATAAAGGTATGTACGTTCCAACATATATCAGTAAAAGAATACCGATATGGCTTCCCCAATCCCCAGGCGGAAGCAATCTTTCTAGCATATTATTACTCCGGAACGGGATTTGCTGTAATTCAATGCAATGCGATATGTCGCAATATGAAAAATTGGCCAGATTACAATGGTAAGATAACGATACATTCCATTCAGTTATTGCATCTGTAGGTTACCTTCCTTGACTGAAGTATGAAGGTGTATATTTGTCCCATAGTTGCACTCTTTACTTAGCCTATGCTTGAGCCTATATGCTTCATAGTCTATAGATCCGGCAGCATCTCTCATGTCATACCCGCTCCTTACCCCTGTCAGAGAGACGGTCAAACGGAGGAAGTATCCCAGAAAATTTCACGAAGTTGGGGCAGGTCCCGATTTTCCGGTATTGGGGGAATTGATCTGAGCTGCAAGGTCAACCACTGACCTAGGACCTTAAAATCGGGTGCCACCGGCTTTCTCAAGATTGTCACAAGCAACACGCCGCTTTTCCGCAAAGCTCGAGCTTGATCAGGGGCTGAGGGGTTCTGATCGCCTCCACTCCTATATGCCAACGACTTCAAAAAGGCCAACAAGAGCGTCAGCTCAATAATGGTCTAATGTTCTGAATAATTCATGCTGCTTGAATTTCATTCAGTTTTTTTCCCTAACCTTTTCTAATAAAAACCATTTTAAATCTACTAATTTCGGAGTGCTTGTACTAGTTTTCAATCGTATATACCTAAGCTTTTTTGGAAGAACATTTACAGGGTTTTCATAAGAAAGGACCTGTTCACTTGTTACAGGTCTTCTACAACTTAGAAGAAATGTCACTATTTGAAAGAAGTCACCGGTCATCGGACAATGAAATGAAGATAATCATCAATGGGAATACACATTTGTCATAATAAACCGTATCAACTCAGTAAGTTGCTTAGTGGGTCAATTAACCAGCTTTCCAACCAAACTTCCATCGAAAGCGACGATTTTCTTGTAGTTTAATAACGAGTAAATACGCGTTTTATTTGTCATGGGAATCCAGGAACATGTGGAATCGCTGTGTCTGCCTTCTGGTATCCCCATTTCGCTCACAGCTTGCATGAGAAAATCAATCTTGCATTGAGTACGAAGTCACGACATAGGCCAGTGTTCAATGGCACGTATTGGGCTGCCTAGTAATGTAATACTAGACAAGCCTAACAAGCACTCATGATGAAAGGAGACCATGGTATCACGTAACATTCAGCAGTCCAATCCAATTACAGCACGGACTAGAGACTGCCAGACGTGACGCCATATGCGACATGAATGACCGTGAGACGACAAAAGACATCGAAGTCGTTCCCTTTACGAGCAGGCTTGTTGCCAAGAAGCGACGCCAGCTTGAGAGCTTGAGCGACGCCTCTTTGCTGCTGTCTAGTTACACTTCGTCAATGTCTGTTGTTGACACCCGTATTCAGTCGAGGCTCTAACCAAACGGACCCGACTTACCACAAGAAATGTATCTGTTACTTCAACACGCTGCTCACTTCGTCTCAGTTGCCAGATCTGGCCAATCTGCTTGCAGGTTTCTCTAACCAGCCACGAACATTGAGCACTACCACCGAATGATACCACCAAATATCTGTTGTTGACAAACTTTAGGAGAATCAAAATCACCGCATCGATCAGTTTGGGTGTAATACGGGCAGACCAATGCAATGGTGGCGTGCACCGGGTAAAGTTTGACACCATTAGAAGTCCCATCGATTGAGCTCATTAGAGGTGGCAAAATGTGGACCCGAGGACCCAGTCCAAAGAACCAGTCTGGACCCATATGGGTCCAGACCGGTTCCTGAAAACTTTCTGACGGGTCCAACCGGGTCCCACCATAAACCATACATCTTGCACCACACTACATATGATTGCAAAATATGAAGT